AGAACATACTTTATTATAAAAATGTGCAACTATCCATAAAACTTTATTAGGCAGTATTTTACATTACAATCTTTGGAGGAGTCAAAGTTGAGTCTTTGCTGTTGTTCTGTCCTTGTTCGTGTCTTAACAGAACTAGGTAATCACACTTTACAGCTAAATTACACTGGTGCAATAACAGTAACTTCCATATGATACATTAGTAAATTGTTGTTTTCATGAACGTGGTATCAAAAGCAAGAGTAAAGCTTGCACACCTAAGTAGTTTTGGTAGTCAGAAATGAAAACTTGGAAATTTTGTTCCATTGTGGAAATCCAAAGGCAATACGGTCAACGTGAGAATTTGTTATTCGGAATATTAAACATTAAAATGAACATTTGGATAAAAACGTTTTCCTATGATTGTAAATGCGCCACATTGAATAAGGTTTATTGGCAAAATACACTGTAGCAATAATTTATAAGTGAAATCACACTGAAAAGCTTTGTGGAGAATATACAGTCTGTGCGGCTAGTCTGGTGCTGAGAAACACAGGCCGTTGCTTGTGAAATCTCACCCACCGAAAGCTTCCCTTGCACTCACTGCTGCCTGCCTGTGAAGCTTCCTGAAGCCTTCTTTCAGCAGGGTCAAGGAAAAATGATAACATTTATGCATTTAATTGACCAAATATTTTCGTGTTCTGTAACAATGAAAGAAATTATGAGAGTCTTAACAGCTGTGTGAACCCTGCTTGTGAGAGAAGTATGCAGAACTCAGGAAATATGGAGTAAGGGGTGACTTAATGTAAAGCTTTTGAGCACTAAGAAAGGTAGTGTGAATCAATGACTGATGGTCAGCCTTTGAGTTTATGGATAAAGGAAGGGGCAAAATCTGGCTTTTGGTATAACGTTAAAGTAATATGCAGACAATCTTTATGTCAGTTTTTTTTCCAGTTGATTTTGGCACCATTATTGCTTTGTTCCTTCATCCCACAAATGTCACTGCTACTGTTGGCAGAAGTATTCAGGACCTGTGTGAATCGGGCTGATGTTTTGTCACTGCAAACGTACTCAGGGTATTTGTGAACAGGACTGGACCTTTTTCACTGCAGCAGCGTCCCAGGACGTGCTACAGTGCTACTTCTGGGTCTCTCCAAAAATAACAGCATTATGGGCTGAGAAAAAAACCTGTTTTGAAGTTGGTAGTTAGACATGGTTCCAATCAACTTGGAGCAGACATTGCAACCTTAATTTTTTGCTTCACTGGATTAGATAAGGACTCAGGCTGTTGGCTGGGTTAACGCTGCCGGGAGCAGGCTCACAGACATTGTAGAGGTGTGAGCTTTACTCCTTGTGGTGTAGAGAGTCGCTGAAGTTAAAAGACTTTCTTTCTCGTATCAGCTTTGATTGCTTTTGACGTTGTGGAATACTTATGCTAAATGGCTTTCACAAGCACTTACTGCATACAGAAGCTGCAGGTTCCTGAGTGGGCTGATGGTGTGGTCAGTCCAGCAAGCTGCTCTTACTGAAAGAGCCCCCCACCTTTTTTAGATACTGTTTCCACAGGCAGATGCTCCTTGTGATCGAATTTGCTGCCTAGGGGAGCAAGTTTGGCATCGGGTGACAGCTTAAACCCTGGCTGTTTAAGGTAGAATGTAGGTCTCCTCTATTTGCTTGGTTTAGACCGCAGCCTGGCAGACACTTTAGCATGCTTTTAAACAGAGCTATTACTAGCATAAGGCTGGGTTTTGTCCACTTTCTGTTGTCCTGCGAGTGGACTATGTGGAGTCCACAGGTGCTCAAGCGAATTGTGGATGGGCTGTGGACCTGTAAGTGCTATGGCCAGATTTCCACAGTACTGTGCTGCCTAGACGCAGCTGGTTAACATGCAGCCCAGCCACCTGTGTCACTGACCTGTCTTTTCTCCATCATACCTTTAGTCTCCTTCATACCATATGTGCCTTCAGTCTAATTTAAATACTCTTGATACTACCTGCGGGTTTTCTTTTATCCTGGGTATCCCAAACTACTTTCAGCTCAGTTATGTGGAAGTTGACTGTAAACAGCTAAGTTGAACACATGCATAATACAATATACACTCAGTTTCTTTGAAACCTAAAGGTCAGGAGTGTACACAAGTGCTCAGCTTATTTGTGGCTATTTGGCATTAGGCTCTATTTGACAGAAAAGATTAAACATTGGGCAAAAGTGACAAAAACATAACTCACTCTCTGTAGTGCACTTGCTATATACATTCTCATGAAAAACTGAAATACGAGTTAAATACATACTTATTTTATTCCAGGCTATAGAATAAGTGTATCTAGGCAGTTTTTCAAAGTGTATTGTACGGTGCATGCACAATAAATCAGTTTAATAGCTTGACTGTTTTACAATTTGTGTTCAAAGAACTGTATGATAGGCAATGAGATCATGTTATGGCATGGCTTGTTGTGCATTTGGACCGTATCCATTTTTTCATAAAAAAATTTGGGAAACCCAAACTGATAGATGAAATGTATATTAAACATTTTAATATGAGCATTTGCTCCAAGAAAGAAACTTCACATGATACGTTAAATTTTTAAATCCCTCTAAATAGAGGATTTAAGACAAGCAATTTTGAACGTGATTTCATTGCAGTATTACACTGAAGATTGGTGTAATATTTTTCAAAACAATGTAACAGTTTCCAAACACAGATTTTGGAATCTTATGGTAGAAATCAAGATAATATTTCAGGGCCTGCACATTTAGCTTTAAAACTGTCCTTGAAAGGATGACTTGTCTGGTTGACAAGAACTTCTACCTGTGTGAAATATCTTATAAAGATGGCTTATGACTAGCAGGTCACCATCATATAGTAACATTAAAAATATTCAAGTCTACATTTGTAAAGACTTATGCATGCAGTTTTGTCTCTTACACATTGTTTAGATGTGTGGACTAAATGTATTGTGCCTCAAACACCAACAAACTTGAAACTACACTATGTAAATATATACATATATGATGCTGTATATGTTTAGTACCACAGTAAATATAACTGTAATCAAATGATACTAGACATATGTAGGACCATAGTTAAATTCCAATTAAGAAAAAAAGCCAGAAAAAATAATTTTTTTTCTAACAGTATTTCACAGTAGAGGGAGGCAGTCCTTTCTCACTGAATTTCCCCCCCTCAGGATTTGTAAACATCATAGCTATTATTCTATCAGTATAACAATTGAATATTTTATTCATAATGGTAAGTAGCTAACCAACATGAATAAAGTTGTCATAACACAATAACACTTTCAGACAAAACAGGTATTTATTAAAAGAAACATTTATAAATATTTTGTCTTGCATTTTAAACTACATTTTCATAAATAACAATATTTAAAAGTGCTGAATATGGTAGGATAGTCAGCAACGCCACTGTAAACAGATTTGTTTTCCACTTTGCAGATTTTTTTTTTAGATCCCATTTTGTCAAACACTACAACAGTTAAAATATTTGCATAGGGAATAGAGAATAGCCCTTTTAATCATCTCCTGAATTCTATATAAATTACAAAACCAAATGAGTTTAAGAAACAGTTAGTTAAATTGTTCTTTTATATATATCCAAAAAAAGCACACAGGTTTCAAGTAAAAAGAATGATTAAAAAATTCCCCAGACTTGCTATTTGAAGCATGTTCAATAAATTAAAAAAATGAGAGGTAGTAAAACAAAGGAAAAAAATAAGCCTCAGAAGATAAACTAAGACCTGCATCCTAGCAGTTACTGTATAGCAGCAGACCCGCCTCGGCAGCAGCAGCTCCAGCCAGAGCCGGCACCGGAGGCTGCCTGCAAGGAGTAACTGGGTGGTTGGAGCCAAGGTGTGTTGGGGCTAGATTCCACTCAAGGACACAACTGCCAGACCTTCCAGTCCCGTCGAAAGCAACGGGCTTATGCCATGTTTAGTCCTATGTAAGTGAGAAGAACCTTGCCTTTTAAGTCTTACTATAAGACCAGAGTTGTCAGTATTAAATATATATATACACATACATACATATATATATATATATTTAACAAGTATTCAAAGCCATTTCTTGGTATACCTTTAGCAGTTTGTAAGGGATGCTAACACTCATTTTGCTTGTATATGGGAGGTATGAAGATGGGGTTTTTTAAGTTCCAAGTCACTGTCTCTTTAAACATCAAAATGCATCCTAAAATTGGACATTTTTTGATAAAAAGGCCAAGCAAACACCTATTAAAAACACCATGGCAGCCAAGTGATGGGAGTACCATGCTGCCTTAGCTCTGATTAAGGGCTCAGTACAGGATTCTTTACCCAGGAAAGACACCCATTGCATTTCCGTAGGCATTTTGCTTGGGTAAGGACTGTAGGTTTATGAGCCCTTGAAGTTTGGTTTAATATTACTCTCCAAACCCCTTTTTTTCAAGGATTTACTCAAAAACAATGAGGCTAGAAGCTCAGATAAGTCTTCTTTAACCCACCACCTTGTAAAACATTACTTTGTTTAAAAACATTTTTTACTGGATTTAGCGTTCAAAAAAAATAATCTTACAGGACAGATGCAATTCATCAAAATGTTCTAAAATGCTCTAAAATGCTACATGTAGGCAATCTTTTATTAAATTTCTTTATTCAAAAAACTAAATTATCAAGCTTTTCGGGTTTTTTTGTTTTTGTTTTTGTTTTTGTTTTTGCTGAAGTACATAACATTATACAACAGTGTTAGAACTGGATAGCCAGTCTTTAATAAATCAATTACAGTATCTGACATCTGAAATGTACATTGAAAATCTTTGTTCTTTTAACAATTAAACAACATCAGCGCATAGATTGTGTCACCCAGATACGGATCCCTTTAAGTGGTTTGTGCTTTTTTTTTTCCTTCTTTTTTTTTGTTTTCTTTTTTTGACATTGCAAACTCTGTAATGAAAATGCCACAATTTTGGCAGTGAACAACCAGAGGAATCCTCTGCTTGATTTATTTTAAATAAACAGTGATAAATAGCTCTTTTTTCTGTACAGAAATATTGGCTTCAAAAAGTCAGTGTATTGTACTCAGTAGAGCATGTTGAGTAATGCTACACCTTAAAAATTGGCTTTTTTCAGTTAGTGATGTTAAAAAATGCAAGCCTCTTTCTGGTTTGCTGCAATTGTTTCTATGTACCATAAGACTGTATTGCACAAAAAAAGTTCTTAAATACAGATATAATTTATGTTATTGGATTAAATATTGCAACAACTAAGTGGTAAGTGAAGCAGTTTTACCTTGCACATGCAGTGTGAGGATACACAAGGAGACTGTTCATAAAACTACAAATACATCATTGCAATTTTGACTGCGGTAGGGTGAAAGGAGTGTGAAACAAATGTATTTTGGCAAATCCATTGTTCCCCTCCCACGCCATCTTGAGCAAGGAGGACCTTGGTAAAAATGTAGACAGAGACCATAATATGTATTTGTTTTCTTCACAGTAGCCTGAGTAGTGCTAAACTGTAGTTCTCCAGGAACCCAGCTCCAGATGTTATTAAACTACTTTTCTTCCATCCCACCCACCCAAAAAGAATCAAGTTATTTTGTTTGAAAATTAAAACTAAGTTTCAGAAGTGGAGCCTGTAATACTTTCAACAAGAGACTTATAAATCTGAGAGTTCAAAAACCTTGGAAAAGAGTCTCTGTGCATTAACGTGTATATCTGGAGCTGGGCATCTTCATACATGTGAGGGCTGGGATCCAACAAATTTCTGTTGATCACTTCTCTCACCCGGGAATCAAGACTAACCTGAAGAAGATGAGAACAGATTAACATTAAACAGTAATACTGGAAAGGCTGTTATATGTATCTTTATTTCTCAGGGCTCCATGGAACATGCCGAGTTTATCAGTTTATTCAGGTAATGCTCTGTGCTTCTTTCAGAGCCACCACACAATTACAGACTGAGACCATTGACTCTATTTCAGTTTTGACTTGGTCTTTGCATCCATCTCAAGATCTTTAAGATGAAATGCAGCTGCATAGCAGAATAAATACAGTGCAACTAAATAAAGTTCTGCAGTAACCTGGATTTCCCAAAATATGTTATTTTACCTTAAAAAAAGATTTTTACATATTTAAATGTCAATGAAATGAATGTTGAATGACTCTGATTCAGAGAGCTGAAATGTTTTTTTCCTGACCATTTGTGATTAAAACTTTAGAAGCTTTCTAATCAGCATTTTCATCTGGCTGCCCTACATATTTTCTTCCCCTTTTTTTCAGGCACTACACTTGTTACTCACAAATTACCCAGAGCTTTTTATCATTTTTATTGTGTTAATCTCCCCATTAATATTAACTATTTCAGATTTGTTCTTCTTTTCAAGACTCTTTAACATCTGGTAATTTATACTTTCAGGATATCATATGTCCGTATTGAAGTTGTTAGCAAGTTTCAATTTTAGCTTCTCATTTACTTTCCATTTGTAACGAACTCCTGTGCCTAGGCAGAAAAGAGCATATTATGCTTGGGATGAATGCACAGATGATTTTAGAATATCATTTAGAAATTTGAGTGAATGTACAGCTTATCCACAAAATGCTCTAAACCCAGTAAAATTAATGCCTTCTGGATTAAATGAAATGGCAGTAGCAGGAAAGCCCACTGGGGCCAGCAAGGGCTTAGTCAGCTAAGAAGAAAAAGGCTAAAACACTGAGTAGAGAAATACCAAGCATAGGTCACTTAAGCTACTGTGATTTGCACCAGGTTGCAATCTGACCCTACTACTCTGCAACCATATAAATAGATATTCATATTGTCTGAAGGATTGAGTTCAACCCTGGAAAGCTCCACGTACCAAGATACCTTAATATGTGAGGAATGCTAACCGAGATGAAAACTCGGAACATGTGTGGATGTGTGAGCTTGTGCATTTCTATATGTGGTGAAGTAAAGTCTTTGAAATACAGTGGTATGGTATGGTACTGAGGAGTAAATATACATTTTCATTATATCTTCAGTACCAGCTGTAGACTCTGGCATTGTTGGCTTGTTGGCATATTGGAGTATGTTCCTGCCACAGCAGGCAAGCTCTTTCTCCTCCAATATTTGCTGTTACTTGGTTATCGGTCACAAGGCACAACTATGATGCAGCCTAACTGCGAGCAAACTGTTGCCTATTCATGCTAGCAAATGGTACCTATTACTCAAGTACGCTATCTCTGCAGAACATCCATTTTGCCTGCTTAATGCACGCCCTCCATCTAAGCGCGCATTGCTACGCCTGCATGCAGCACCCCGGGGTGCAGCAGCAGACCCTGCTGTACTCCTCCCTTACGGATGGGTAGCAGTGCTGTGCTGGCTGCCATGAACAGCCTTCCCCCTTTCCCACCCTGGTGCTTCCCCTCCCTTGTGCTGGCAGGGCTCTCTGGGCAGCCCTGCAGCTAGCTGAGTTAAGGAATTGATCAATCTGAAAGTGGCATTTCTTTTTTGGGCTGTTTTTCAACCCAGGCATTTTTCTGATTGAATTCGATGTCTAACTAACGTAGCTGTGCAAGCAGTCTGGACTGCACACGAGGAATGAAGAGACCAGTGTGACGGCTTGGCCAGTGACTACCTGCTTTTTTAGACACAACAGCATGCAGGGGTATAGTGATATGCTAGTCTTGAGCAGCAGTGTTGCAGCCATGCATCTTCAGAATTTATTTGAATAGTTTTCAGTCCTAGACCATTGCATTTCTGTAGCACAGAAATGACACACTAAGATGTAAGCGATTGTCCCCCTGACACACATAGAATCATAGAATCATGGAATCATAGAATCGTCTAGGTTGGAAAAGACCTTTAAGATCATCCAGTCCAACCATTAACCTACACTACCAAGTCCACACTAAACCAATTAAGGGTAGACTAGACTAAACCATGTCCCAAAGTGCCACGTCTACCTGTTTTTTGAACGCTTCCAGGGATGGTGACTCCACCACCTCTCTGGGCAGCCTGTTCCAATGCTTGACGCCCCCTTCCGTAAAGAAATTTTTCCTAATATCCAATCTAAACCTCCCCTGGTGCAGCTTGAGCCCATTTCCTCCTGTCCTATTGCTACCTACTTGGGAGAAGAGACCAACACCCACCTCACTACAACCTCCTTTCAGGTGGTTGTAGAGAGCATGCACACGCATGTATCTTAGCAAAACCAGTTTGTGCAGCTAGCTAATTGGTTCTTCATCATCAAATATAGCTGGGATAAAAAGCTCAAATTTGGCAGGATGGTGGGGTTTTGTGCCATCGAATATAGTAAAAGTTAATTGCACTTATAGAATGAAAAAAAAATGGAACTATTAATTTACATTGTAGTTTTTCAGTGACTCACTAAAGCCAGATGGCAAAACTAGTTGGAATTTCTAAAGGTATTTCCTTGCTAAACAGATGAATACAAGGTATCTGTTTGGAACACTAAGACCTTCTGCCTCTATAACTTCATCCCTAAACAAGTAATGCTAAATATTTCAGCTCTTATGCCAAAAGATAACATCTGGAATGGGATGCCTGGATGAACAAGATCTTTTCAGCTCCTGTGCTGATCTAAAGCATTGCAAACAGTTCTCATTTGCCTCATAAGATTTCCAGTAGGGACAGGAGCAACTGGATTGATGGCATCCACACATGTCCAGTACATCAAGTTTGTGAGTAGTTTTGTTAAACCGTAAGTCAAACAACACTTAGTGTTTGAATTTTAACTGCTGGTTGATCTTAGCTTAAAAAGACAACTGAGCATTCAGCACATATATATACTAGAGATATATTATAAGAAAACTTCATTATTAGCTTGCTGTACTGGCAGTTATCTCACTCCAAAGCAAAAGTATACACTATGGCACAAGAGAAGATAATGGAGCTATAAATTGCCTTTGGCTTCATTCATATGAATGAGGTTGCTAATTATTACTGAATGCAGTGCAGAAATAAAATGTAGGAAGCAAGGTCCACATTGAGCATAAATTAGCATAACGCCATTGAGTATAAAGTCAGATGCAATGCACAGAGACAAGGCAAAGGAGCTAAAGGTACATGACGTAGCCTAAGACAGACTGTTCTATAGTACTTATATAGTCATATATCTCTCTATTCCAAAACATGGTTTGATAGGGGATGCTTTTTCTTTACTCCAGGTGAAGATCACTTCAGAATTTGTCTATTTCAGTTTAAGGGTTGAAGAAAATCTTATATAATTTCCTAGATATTATCATACCTTTCATTAGAGAAAATACATGGTCTCCATTCCTGGGCTTTTACATAGGAAGAACCAGTGCAAATGTGGATTTTCTCCCAGACAGCTGTTGCAGTAGATAAATCTATAATGATTCTGATTTAAATTCCTTAATTTTGGTGCCTTTTCTCCAGAAATCCATTTGCATTATTTACTTCCTCTCTCTGGCAGGCATGTAGCATTACTAAAGCAACATATTTCTCAGCCTTCTCTTACTGGAGTTTCTTGAGTCTTACAGAGAGCTTTGAGGTGTTGTGGCCAGTGATGCTAAATGGCCCAGCACCTGTGTCTCTACTTTTTCTGTCCCTTCCTTTCCTGATCTTATATCCATACGAAGACTTTCATCTGACAGATCAGGCAGGCTTCCAGACTCCCATCTGGCAATCCAGGGTATAACATTTCTGCTCTGGAAATGAAAAACGCAAATGTAACATTTACAGCTTTACCTCTTTTGGTGATAGTATAGAAATGTAATCTTCATATATAAGTCTTGCTTTTTCTTCAATAACTTTCTTGTTCTGTTCCTTCTTTAGATCTTCACATGCAAGCCAGAAAAGCAGGTTCTCCTCACTATACTCTGTTCGAAGAAACTCTCTGAAAAGGTTCCTCCCAGCTGGTGTTTTCATCATCTTGTCAAAATTCTGAGCCCAAGACAAAATTTCATCTGCAGTAGGGTTTTGGCTGCAAAAGCAAAGTATCATTACAAATATGCTTCTATTTTTGTAACAGTGTTTTCATACATTCATCCAAAAATTCTCCTTTCAACTGCACTTCAGTCCAGAGTGAAAACTGGAAGCAACAAGGCTTCAGCAGTGACAGGGGAATTTTGCTCACTCTTCACTTGTGCATTCATTATCTCAATAGCCCACTAAACATGCTTAATGTTATGAGACATGCACTTGGCTTTCTGAGAGTTTTCTACTAGTGTTGTTAGCCATCAGGCTCAAAGACAAAAATCCCACAACAGCATTGAATTCCTGCCTCTGCAGTTAAAAAAGATGTGATTTCAGGGAGCTGGCAATAGACTCTCTTTCATGAGGGGTTTAGATGACACCTGATGTCCCTGCCTGCTTCTGATGGTGTTTGGCCAATCGCTGGCTGCCACACGATTTAGTTCAGGAAGGACAAGAAAAACAAAAGGCCCTTGGCAGCCAAGAGCATACTAATGAGGCCCAACAAAATAGTTATTCAGAGACCTTTTAAATTAGCATATTTCCCTGTGCTTGTACCTAAGGGTTGCTAAGCTTCCCTCTGTTTGGTGCTATTGACCTGAATTATGATCTATTGGCACAAGATGTGATGGATGTTGCTAGCAAAACTGGAGAGAGAAGAAATGGGAAAAAGTCCTTATTCCCATTTTCTGAAGGAAACTATTAGTGGCTTGTAGCAGTGGACACACTGGGCAAGCGATCAGAAGACTAACTTGTGACACTAATCCATTAATGTACCTATGAGTAGCTTGAGAAAATAATACTCCAAGTTACTTAACAGCAATTAAATATGGTTTCAAACTTAATTCTGAGTGCTCACCCTCCCCTCCTTGATAGGATCCAACACAAAAGCTTTACTAGCTGTTGTTTAAAGCTTCTGTGTAATCCTGTTGCACAATAAGTGACATTTGTCTGTATGATTTCTCTTCAGGTCCATTTATCAACTCCTACTCTGCATGCAAGTCAGACTGGATGATGGGAAGCTATTTGTGATAGCTTGTCAGCAGTCCAAAAGATCTAATAAATGAGAAAGTGTTTAACATTTAAACTATCCAGCAAAATAATTGTAATCTGAACCAAAAAGTATGAACATACAGATTTGAAGGTGAAAAGTGCTCTCTCTGAGGACAGTGAAAAGAACCTGCTGAGGTGGAGGGAGCTGACAAGCAACCTGTGCTCCCTCATTGTCTGTTGGGAAGCTCTCTTTGCTACAGTATTTTATGGAAATTTCTGACATTGTCCTTTCATAAATGACCACGAGTAGCAAAGAAGACAATGAGTTGTTTGGGTTGCTTCTACCATCAATCATATCCTCTAGAGTTAAGTTTTAATTTACTTTTTATGGGATTAGAGAACTCAAGGCCACTCATAGGTTAGCTTTTTTCCCAACACAATAAACATGGGCCCAAGCTTTAGACAGAAACAGCAGCTCACTCTCAGTGTGTGTTAGCCCGTTTTTCAAGGTATGTGTTTCCTTGGTTAATTCCAGTGAAAACATAGTCTGAGTTGTTTTATGAAAGGTAGCCATGTTAAAAATCTGACTGTAAGTACACTTGTGCCCGTTAGTTTTTCTTCTTGTCTGGATAAACAGAAGAAAATGATCCCACAGGTAGCAGAGGCTTCTTATAGAGACCCACAGGTCTATGGAACCATCCATGCACCTTCCATTCCTCCCCACAGTTCTTCCCCACAAATAAGAAACTGTAAGTAAGCCTGACTTATGAATGTCTCTGCTGGCATTTCATTGTCAGGACAGATTTTCCTTCCTTTTTTATCAAATTTTTTTGGAGGAAAAGTAATTAAAAGGACATTCCCAGAGCATAAAAACCAAGGCAATTCTTGATACTAGTTATAGGCAAATTAAAAACATTTACTGGACAACAGTTTGACCAACTTACCATTCTTCTATGACTTGGATACTCTCCATTTTGGTCGTATGTGTTGGCCTTCCTGCATTGTCTCCTCTATCTTCATTCCTAACAGTGAGGCTGCAATGTAGTACAACACTTTATTTTGTCTAGAGGAAGTTAATTTAAAACAATGAATATAGTAATGCAAACTTTTAAAAGTTATAAACCTATGTAAAATGTCATTTTTCACTCTTGCCCCAAAAATTTTGGAGAGGAATTTTTGATAATGACTTTTCCCTTTAATTCTGATGAATATTAATTAACAGTTGCTATTAGCATGTGTAATTTTTTACAAGCTCACAGTTTATCCACTGAAAGATGGATACAAACTTAGAGGTCACTTTTGGAGTGATTTCACTTAGTACCTTGAGAATGTTAGTAACAATAAGGGTAAGGGGGATAAGAATATATGAGTTGGACATTGATGAGGCTTTGGTGCCCCACCAGTTCTGGATGGTTGTTCATTCTTTATGAACGTTCCCTTTTTTATCTCCAGGATACGGTGGCAGTAGATGTCTCAGATACAGAACTTAGCGTGTGGCAGCTTCTTATGATTTCCTCCTCTGACCTAAATTTGATTTTCATTCCAAAAAGTAAAACTTACTGGCCTCTCAACAGAAAGGCATCTATTACCCTCATATTATCACAAGCAAGGAAAAGAAAGACTTCCTCTATGTAAGGATGTTTTTGATTTTTTTTTTCTTCTTTTTTGACCTGGTAACTAGCATCACTTATTTTTCTGTAAATATCTTTTTAATCAGATTTGCTTTAGTGGTAGTGACTTCCTCTGTGTGTGCTCTCTATGAATGTTCTGGAACATGGTATTGCCAGCAAAACCACAATTCTTGATAACTACTGAAATAAAACACATTTTGAATTATATAAATATTCATATAAGAAACCTGGTTCCAATATTTAAGCCTAAGAAGTGGACTGTAGTAAGGAGATGGAGATTTCCCTTTATCCACTGTTGCCTATGTGTCCAATTAAGAAAAAACAGGCAACCAAGCAAAAAATGCCCCCTCCCAATCCCAAGACAGCTCATATTTCAAATCTTGAGTATTCACCATACAATGATGCTTTCAGTCATCCTAAGTGGTGATATACAAAAATATGTTGGTAGCATAAAGCTTCTCCCTCCCCCACTAATCTGAATAACTTCTGCTCAGCTCTAAGAAGAAATCCCAGCTTTTAGACATTTTCAGCACAAATAACCTTTCTTTCTAGCCCCTCTGCATTTATGAGTTTCTTCAACATTTTTTCAAACGTTTGGCAGAGTTAATAAGGTGATCTCAAATACTCTTCTGAAAACTGGAAGTTTAAGCTCCCAGGTAAAGCAGAGCACATATTAAGACTTAAACATTACAAAGACGTACACTTTCAAACGAAGCTGTTTGATACTGGTTGCTCCTTCACTTACCTGCCAAGACCTTAGTTCAGGCCTTTGGTCCTGCTTCCCCTGTTACAGCGTAGGAATGCAGCTCCAGTGCTGCTAAGGTGTTAGGGTGTCATCAACTGCTGCAGGAGAAACAACACATCCTGAACTCTGGGGTTGGCAGGTAAAAAGCCTTTCGTCTCCTCTGACCTGTTGCTCATCAGTCTATAGAGGGAGCACCCAGGAAAGCCAATGGGAGTTCCGTATACAGGAGGAGAAAAAAAAGGGACCATCCACTTTCTGTCTTGTAATCTTTAAGTCCACACATGTAACTGCTTAGAGTCACCTTGCATCTGGCTGGAGCACATAGTTGGGGTGAGGGAGAAGCAGGGAAGGCACAAAGCTTCTCTCTCTCCCTCCCTCCCTCCCTCCCTCCTTTGCAGTCTATAGGTAGAGCAGCATTTGTCTTCTCTGCTGGGTGCAGAGAACTGAGTGTCCTTTGGTTCCATGGAAGAGTAACACCATGGAAAACAGCTTGTGTAGGTTGGGAGTGTAACAGGGTGTTCACCTGAGTCCGTCCAAAAGAGAATGAAGCTGCCCATTTTCTTTCCTCCACCACATGAGCAGCAGCTAAGCTGTACTGAGATAATTTACTTGTCAGGCAGTAGACATCCAAAGTTTGGATGCAGAGTCTTACTGGAAGTAGAATGTGACTCATCTGAGAGCAGTTAATCTACACTGCTAATTTAATTTGATGTCTGGGGTCAAATACTGGTTTTTTTGCTCATGCAAAATGTCTGCTAAACTTAGGAAAAACAACATGGGCTGATGAAGGTGGAATACAAGGAGTGAGTGGTGAGTAAGAAAGAGAAATAGGAAAACGGACAAGAAAGCCATCTTGACTTCATTGCACTTTTTTAATCAAAGGAGTAATGGATAGGCCCTTTCTGTTTTGATATTCCACAAGACTACATCTCAGTAAAAAGTTGAGATGGTGGGCCCAGAATACAGCGTGCGGTTGTCTGGTATCTGTACCAGAGTGACAATGCGAGGTACACACTTGGCCCTAATTCCTTCATCTCACCATTCAGAGCTGGAGTTCAATGGCTGAAGTTAGTCAGAGTTGCGAAACAGGGAAGACTCTAAAGAAAGAAGTGTTATACTTGGTTGGAATAATTTCTCAAGTTTGGGTATTGTATTCAAAACTGTGCTAAATTTATGATACATCTTGGCCTAAATTCTGCATTATGTTTCCAGTGACAAACACTAGCACTACATTTCAACTTCTATTTATCTACATCTGTCAAGGCTGAAGTTCCATTGGATACATTACTTTTGATATGTTTTTCCTGTGAAAGAAACCATCATTTTTATACAGAAGTACATTCAATTCAGACATGTTCTGCTTTCACTCAAGGAACAGGTTTGCTTAGAAAAAAAATTAAATATTTACACATTTGTGACTGCAAAGCTAATTTGAAAGCAGCCTTTAAATAACTCTGATCACAGTAACAGATTGCTACCTTTTACCTCAAAATGACAACACTGCATTGCTATTTGCTATGTTGCTATCTTCAGTTGAAAATACCCTATCTGCTCACATATGTCTGTGGAATTCAAGCAGTCCTCAGCAGCAAAGGCACCCTGCATACCTGGAGTTGGTGTCCTTGATACATTACTCCACCATGGAAGCTAGCTGATTATGTCAGAAGAATTATGCTGAATAGTGTAAAACTAAAGAGAGTAAAAGTAACAGGATAAATATTAACAAAATGATCTTAGTTAAGGCTTTAAGAAGAGGAAATTGCTGATATGCCTTATCAAAAAGTAGTTAAATGAAAGGGAGGTGTTCTAGAGAGACGTCTGATGTAAATTAACATATATGGTGCCATTGTTATTTATTAGTTGGAGTACATCCAGCAGATATCTTTAAAATTTAGAGATGTAAATTACCCATGATAAAAGCACAACAAAACTGCTAATGCCTTAAAAAGAGAGAGTTTGGGGTGACTAAAGGTAGAGTTTAAGTGGAAAGCACAAGCACTGGTTTGTTTTCTGTTCCTATGGAAGGTTTGTTCTGCCCACTTTTATGCTGATTTTATTGCTCTTTTTATAATCTCCAGATTATGGTAAAAAGTACTTCAGTAAACCCAAGTGGCCTGAACTCAATGTACCTATCAAATGTATCTTGGATTCCTGACTTCTTAAAAAATGACAGTTTCTTTAACTACTGCAACAGTATTATTATGAGTAATTTTTCTTTGGAGTGAGTGCATTTCTATTTTGCAAGTTCACAGGCTTTATAAGTAAAAATGTTAATGACCAGGGACTACTTAAAGAAGTATACAAATTGAACAAATTACCACATATAAGGTTAAGCTGGTGCAGGTTCCTAGCTGATGTGTTTCTGGAGGAACGACTGGGATGCAGAAAACCAATCTTTATTTATTTAGCTACTATAACTTAGCTGTTAATATTCATGTTCAGCAATTAAATAATTGTTCTGTTGAGTAATTACTAAGGTAAACCAGTATTGCAGGCCACTGGTGCATGGTAAGGTAAAAAAGCCAAGCTAATTGGATAAAATTATCAAGAGAGTTGGACTAATTCAAGAGCAAAAATCTCACTGACTCTTCCTCCAGGTGTTTCCACTTGGTGGTTTTAGCCTTTTTTAAAAGTTGCTTATTATCCCTACTGCTGCACTTACCTTCTACCACCATTAAGAAACTGAAAATCATTTAGAGCTTGGACCTGATCTTTCATTCTCTGTATATCCAGTAAACAAATAGTCTTTAATTGCTTCCCAAGGGTCAGATTCTTGTGTAGCCAGCAGCCTAAATCTGGTGAATCAGTGAAATTGCTGTTATCACTGTGGCAAGAAAACTATGCCATTGTGACAAGCACTAAGATTAACATTCTGCCCATGCATGGCTAACACCAGTTACTATTCACTCAGGTATTTTCTGTTATGTGCATCAAATGCAGGACATCATCACAGTATTTTGCAATTATGTCTGGCATTGAAGACAATGTGGTGATTAAAGCCTCTTGCCCTAGTGGTGTTTTTTGTTCTGCCGTGAAGATAAGGAGTAGAAGTCAAACTGGGACACTGTGAACCAGTTGATAGGCTATTGAGTTGCCATTCAGGAGATCTGTGTGCTCAATTCCTACTTCTTGGCTGAAGTTTGTAGATGCTAGGCCCTGCAGGGCAATGATTACATTTTAGGCTGAACCTGTGTACGTCACACGGTAGGGCCACAAGCCCTCTAGCCACCACTGTAACACAAAAACCTTCCTTATTCCAGCCCAAAGGCCACATGAAGTCAGTTGCACATACAAAATCTAAAGGTTGAATTTGGTTTTCAGATTAAAATCGATATTCATTTAAGATCCTCTGGGTAACAGATGTTCTGTTCTGTTTCTTTCACTGATCTACCCTTTGAAAGATTGTATCTCACTGGCACCACTCTTCACCCTATCCTACTCCTAGGAATTTTTATTATTATCAGATCAAGAGACAAAATATTTTTTTACTTCATAGGTCCAAAATCCAAGAAGTATTTTTTTGACGCTTGAGTCCAGCTTCCAGTGCAAGCGAGCTACAGGCAGGACTGCCGTAACTTAAATAATGGGGATTTAGTAGATGTAGATTAAATGGAAGCTTTCTTACAAAACCACAACTCCCTCCCCCAAAAAGCCACAAGAGATCAATATTTAATTGTGATTTTAAAATTCCCCTGATGTAAAATGGCCATTTACCTAAAATATTGACAAACACAGGTTGAATTTACCAAATAGGTTCAGATAAGAAATATTTTTTCAGGGTCATTTGGAGCAGGAAAAGTCCTCTTTTATACACGCAGGTTAATGCACTCATTCAGGATTTGAAACACCCTTCCTGTGGGACTACGGTGGGGCAGGTGTCTTTCAAGCTGTTCTGCTATTCCACTTTGGTGAAATAATAGAACACTCATTACACAAGACAGAAACAGGAGACTCTTAATGGCAAATCATCATGTAGTGAATACTTTTAAGCATTTTATATAAAGTACAGTATTTTATATCTCATTGAAGAGAGAGCCTGAAAACAAGAACATATGATTAATGCATTTTCCTGAAGTGAGGGGAAGGTGGTTTTTAAAACTCTGAGACAAAGATGGGCACCAACCCTAGATCTTTCACCAGCTGGGTAAATACCTTCACTCGTCAATACAAAGTGGTTGTGCCCCTGCCTGTCTCCAAGCTCTTTGATTCCTTTACTTTTATTATAACTGTCTGGCTTAAAACATCTATATGAACAGAAACTTATTTTTCCTGGTTATATTTTGGATGCAGAAAAAGTGCATGCCAATATCTTTTTCATTTTTGGTTGTTGTTCAATCTGACCAGACTGTCTTCAATACTGTGGTTCAACAGTCAGTCATTGAAAAATCACTTATTTGCACAGCTCCGTTCACAAGTTCACTCCTACATGCTGAGGCAGGCTCTGGTAAAAGTCAGAGGTGGATGTGGTCCTCGTATGCTGTATGATAATGCAACAGACAACTATACTGTCTCTCTAATTTCTTTTATGAAACCAAAGAAAAAATTATTTTCTGACACCTTGTTTTTCTGACAGCTGGAATATTTAAGCCTGACAGCAGTGAAAACTAGTTAGGGCTGTGCTTGTTTATGAACAGAGGAGCATGATGATTTTGCTATACAGTACAAAGCAATAATAATGAAAAATAACTGCAATATTATCGTGATGCATTCATAAAGAACAATACAGCTATGCTAATCTCAAAATCACTTAGAGTCAGTAATGCTATCTTCTATCTCCCTTTTAATGGCACAAAAATAGGCATCCATGAGAATGAAATGTTACATGAACAATATTATCTAAGGATAAGTCTTTTATTTTTTTTTTTTTTTTAAGCTGAGTAAAGGGTAAAAAACCTGCTTCTATCACAGTTAGGAAAAGAATTAACTTTTTGTTACAATAAGCAAGTAACATCCAGAATTCTGAGAAAAAAGAAAGCTAGAGTCATGATTTTTATGAGGAAGTGATGCCTTGCACTAGATATTTTCATAGGCTCAGATAAACTTACATTATATCCTTCAGGCTCCTGGCTGAAAGAAAGGGGATGCATCAGCCATCAAAG